CCAGCACCCATATCTAGTGGCTCACAACTGTGTGTAATTCCAGTGCCAGGGGACTTGGCAGCTTCTTCTTGCATCCATGTGCACCTGCGCTCATGTGCATATGCCCACAAACACACACGGATAAATGAAAATAAAAATAAATAAATCTTAGAGAAATTCAGAAATTCTTTTCTCTCCTAATGGTGACATGAACAAAAAGCTTCAAAGTTTAGAATAAGACATCCATGTATTATTATTATTATTATTATTATTATTATTATTATTATTATTTGAGACAGGTCTTCCTGTAGCCCCAGCTGGCCCAGAACTCACTATATAGACCAGTCTGGCCTCAAACTCACAGAGATCCACCTGCCTCTGCCTCCCAAGTACTGAGATTAAAGGAATAAGGTGTGCGCCACCACACCCAGCTGACATCCATGTATTCTTAGAAAATACAAGTGAGTATATCATTTTTTTTTTTTGGTCTTTTTGAGACAGGGTCTCCCTGTAGCCCCAGCTGTCCTGGAACTCACTATGTAGATCAGGCTGGCCTTGAACTCAGAGATCTGCCTGCCTCCGTCTCCCGAGTGCTGGGATTAAAGGCATGCGCCACCACGCCCGGCCAAGTATATGGTTTTTAAAGCAGGCCAAGGTGGCTGGAGAGATGACTCAGAAGTTAAGAGCACTACTTGCTCTTGCAGAGGACCCAGGTTTGTTCCCAGCACCCACATAGCAGCTAAAAACCATCCATAACTCCAGTTCCAGGGGATACAATGCCCTCTTCTGGCCTCCACAGTCATTGCACAACAAGGGTGTACTTATACACATGTAGACAAAGCACACTCACACATCAAATTAAAAATAAATTAATTTAAAAAATAAGGCAAGCCAAATATCCCCAAGGATGATTTTCCTCTGACACTTGCTGCTCCAGTGATCTCCAGGAATAAAGATCATGTTAACCCCCAATAAAGCTTCTCGCTGAGCTTATACAGGCAGCAAAAAACACCTGAGGGGAGGAAAGTGGTTGCCACAGGAAAGAGCTGGCCTTTCACCAATAATCATGTCTTACATCTTCTCAGTTTCTAATAAGAGTGTACTTGATGCTTTCTGCAAACCAGACTACACATAACCTTTCCTGAATGCCCAGTTAAAGTCAGAGCCCACAGAAGTCACCTATAACCATGCACCCATGATCAGGTGGGCTGATTCTGTGGGACTGAATCTAGGGCTTTGGGAATGCTAAGCACATGATATATTACAGAGCTATATTTCCAGCCCCCAGTCTTTCTCTGTAATTCCTCATAAGTTCTTTTGGATGAAGTTTTCTCATCTTCATCATAAGCAGACTCCAGAGATGATAGTCACGCTTTGATTTAGGACATCAGGCTTCCCTTCTCACGTTGGGCTCAGAACCAGGAAGGGGAGCCCAGGTACCTGTGTGTATGGCATGGAGCTTGGAGCAGGTTACTCAGCATTGATTTCCTTATCTGTGATATTGGATGGACTGAAAGCTGCCTGGAGACAGTCTGGAAACATGACAATAACCTGCTGTGGCTGGTTCTGAGTAGGTCTCAATAATGAGGACCACAGTGAAGGACACGGGGAAGCCCAGCACTCGCAGGGGCCCCAGTGGGTGGGCTGCTTGACTGACTTGTTGCACTGCTACAGTTCTTGTGTTTTATAGTTGCCCATTTCTTTCCGGGGTGTGTGTGAAATTTTGGGTACTTAATGAGTCAGTGCAGGTGGTTGCACATGCAAAGGGTGCTGTGATTGCAGTACAGTTAGTGTGTAGATGCAGAGGCCCTGTGAGGACAGTACAGGTGGTCTACGTATGTACACCAGCAATCATCAGTGGTGTGTATGTTCAAAAGGCCTTTGGGATAGTACACATGGTGCCCTGTAGAGTTCTACAAGCACTGATTGTACTCCTTAGAGAATTTACTTCTTGTTTGCCTCAAGGTCTGAGTTTTTGTTGCTCCTCCATACACCGTGTTTTTTCTCAGGGCACTTGTCTTCTTGGACACTCACTGTACCACTGGAAAGTCTGTGCTCTGCTACATTCTAGAGAGGACAGCTACTCAGGTCAGAGAGCCCCTCTCCAGTGATGTAGGGGCCATGCAGGGCAGAGGCTGCCACCATACTTGTGTGTACCAAACACAATGCTCATCTCAGAAGAACCACTAGCACTTCTAGATTCTAACATAGACAAGTGAAGAAGTAGGTCTCTGAAAAAAGCAGGAAGAAGGGCAGGCCAGGCATGAAGGCCTCCAAATCCCAGGGCCATACCCCTGGGCCACACACGTATGCACACACACACACGTACGCACACACACACACACACACATGACTAATGTTAAGACAATTAATGGTGACTCCCCCTTGAGGAGTCCACTTGGGTATGTCTTTCTTTCTGAGCATCTCTTTCTCCTTGAACTCTGGCATGTTTAAATTGATACTAATATATTCTCTGACTCTGCTTCAAACTAGCTAGGCCTGAGATTCTTTTCTGCATTGAAGTCACATATCTGATTTGGCCTGAGCTGAGGTCCCTAAAAGATGAGGCAAATTCCTTAGGCTGCTGAGGGTGACAGCATGGAGCTGTGGCTTTGTCCCCTCACTGCCTACAGGTCTATCACCATCTACTCACACAGATGTTAAAACTGACTGTGAATCAACTCTGGTTCCAAGGGAGCAAAAATACTCATATAGGCTCTCCTGACCAGCAGTGACCTCAGTGCTACTACTTGTGCTTATGAGTGCTGGGATGACTACCACTGCCTCCCCCTCCACAAGCTAAATGAAAGAGAGTGAAAGAACAGGAGTATGTGTGACTACAGAAGGAAAGTCAAAGCTTTGAAATTTCTGTCATAAGGGGCTGGAGAGATGGCTTAGTGGTTAATAGCACTGTTACTCTTTCAGAGGACCCGGGTTTGGTTCTCAGCACCCACATGGCTGCTCCCAACAGTCTTTGACTCCAGTTTCAGGGTACTGAATGCCTTCTTCTGGTCTATGCAAGCATCAGGCACACAGGTGGTGCACATAAACACATGCATACAAAATATTTATACATATAAAATAAAAATAAATCCTTAAAAAAATCTTTTTTAAGAAAGGCTAGTTAAGGCTGGCCACAGTAGGACAGCTGAGTAGGAGGAATAGCCTCAAGAGCTTTGTAAGCACAGTGGAGTAGCCCTGATGCATTCAATTGAGAATAACTCAAAAGAGGCCTGGGGAGGTAATTCAGTGGGATACCTGAGTTCAAATCCCTAGCATCCACATAAAAAAACAGGCATGGCTGCACATTGTGGGGGCAAAGACATGTGAATCCTCAGAGCTCACTGGCCAGCTAGGCTAGCTAAAACAGTGAGATTCTAGTTCAGTGAGAGACCTTGTCTCAAAGGCTACTGATAAGGTGCACAGTGACAGAGGACACCTGATATGCTGCTCTGGCCTCTGTATGTGTGCATATGTACTCATTCATACTCATGTGTTTGCACCGTCCCCCCACAAAAATAGTTTAAAATAGGTGTCTAAGGAGGTTGCTCAGCCTGTAAAGTACATGCCTCACAAACATTAGAAGGAGAGTTTGATTCAGAGAACTCATGTTTACAAAAAGCTAGGTGTGGTGGTGTCTGCTTGTAATCTCAGTGCTGGGGAGACAGAGACAGGTGAATCCTTGGGCTCACTGGCCAGCCAGTTTAGCTTACTTGGGTACTTTCAGGTCAATGAGAGACCCTATTCCAAAAAACAAAGTGGACGGTGACTGAGGAACTGAGGGACAACAGCTAAGTTGTCCTCTGGCTTCCGCACACATGGGCACATATATGCATCTGTACATGAACAGGTGCATACATTCAAAAGAGTTGGTTGAGGGGCTTCATGTCTCCAACATGAAGCAATGGTAAATGCTTGAGGTAAAGGGTAAGTCCAGGAACCTGGTTGGACCATTACCCACTGTATATCTTTACTAAAATGCCATACTCTGCCCTATAAACACATACAACTATTATGTGTCAGTTAAAAATGCAAAAGAACTTGGAATGGGAACCAGTTCTGCCCAGATGAAGTTTCTTATGGACTTTCTCTGCTTAGCTAGTGAACAGCAAAGCCTATGCTATAACTGTCATAGCAACAGTTCCTGATGTCCACAGAGGGAAATAAGTTTATCAGTTTTCCCTTGCCTCATCCACAGTCTACCCAGGATGTGTCAGCAGAGCTAGAGTAAAGGGGAAGCCCTGGTGTCCTCCTCCAAGCAGCTCTCTCCACCAGAACTGCTGCTTGTCAGGGGGACCTATAGGCTGGCACTGAGCCTGGAGTCTCTGTAAACCCAGGGAAGCTCTGCCTTAGATATGCTCTGTTATAAATACTTCTGACACATTCTAGACATGAGAGGGAAGCTACACCAATGAAATCTCCGTAGTATAGTGGTCTTAACAAGAGCTTCATAATAACTAACAAAACCAGTTGATATACTAAGGTGGAAATCTCAAGGGGCCCCACATGAAGAGGAGGAGCTGCAGGCCATCAGTGGATTCTGAGGGAGGGAGAAAAGTTTTCTCCAGGGACTAGTTTCCTGAGAGGTTATCTAACTCCAAGTGGGCAGCCCTAAACAAAGGTACACATGAGCAAGGTGTTTATTTTATTTTAAATATTTTTAAAGTTTTTTATGTGTAGTGGGTGCTGGGAACTGAGCCTAGGTCTTCTGGAAGAGCAGCAAGTGCTATTAACTATTGAGTCATCTCTCTGGACCTAGGGTCAGTACTCAGCACTCACATGGTGGCTCACAACTGTCTGCACACATGTGGTACGCATACATACAGTCAGGCACACACTCATACACATAAAAAACTAACTAAATCTTAAAAATAAACACCTTGCTACAAGGTGACAGTCATAGGATGAAATGTCCTGTGTGCACCTGCGTTATGCCATGTATTTGGAACACAGCTGCACACCTGACTTGCACAGGCCTTGGAGTCACCCTCCCTCCATTTGCCAGGCCTCCTTAACATTACCTCATTGATGGCCAGTTGTTCTCCACCCCCTCCAGGGTGGCTGTAGTGGTGACTGGAGCTGTGAAGGTCCTCATATAAATCTTCCTCACTGCCTGTCTCGTCCGCACACATGCCAGTGTCCAGAACTCCATCAGGCATCCCTGGAAGGAGAGATGGCAACAGGCAAAGAAAGTCAGCTTGGAAGGGCAGAGGGGAGCACTACACCAAAGGAGCTGGCTGATTGTCTGACAAGAGGTACTTCTTTGAGAGGACAAGGAAGATTGGAGGCTAGTTTCTTAAATTATCCCTGTTGCAGAACACTGCCTGGTGGACAAAATGTTCCAGTGACTCACTGTCACCACAGTAAATCATGGAGCCCTGGGCAAACCAACCAGGTAGACAAAGACACAATAGGATTGGCTGGGGCACATCAACTAAGAGCTCTCTAGCTGAATTCAATTAAAAGCCACTTACCAGTGTGTTGGCCACAGAAGGCTTTTAAGAAAAATATTCATCTTTTGGGACTGCTGAGATGCCTCAACAAGTTAAGGTGCAAGCCTGACAGCCTACGTTTGATCCCTGGGACCCATATAGTGGAAGAAGAGAATTGACTCTCACAGATTGTCCTCTGACCTTCATATACATGCCATGACACATGCACACACACACACACACACACACACACACACACACACACAACTATAAATAAATAAATGTAATTATTTGAGAAAGAAAAGGGCTGGCATTGTGGCACGTGCCTTTAATTCCTGCTCTCCGGAGGCAGAGGCAGGCAGATCTCCGTGAGTTCAAAGCTAGCCTGATCTATATTGTGTGTTCCAGGTCAGTCAGAGTTACACAGTGAGACCCTGTCTCCAAAATAAATAAAGAAAGGAAGAAAGAAAGGAAAGAAGTTAAAGTGTTGATATGTGATACCCAGCTGAACGTCTGTATGCAGAGATGCTGTAGCTGAGAGCTTAACTAACCTCGGATAGAAAATGGAAAGGAAACATGTCAGATTGTGAATGTAATTTAGTAGGCAGAGTGCCCACCTAGCAAGCATGAAGCCCTGAGTTCCATCTTCAGCACTATGTAAACCATGGGTGGTGGGGTGTGCCAGTACTTGGGAAGTGGAGGCAGGAGGATCAAATGTTCATGTCCAGCCTTGGCTCCACAGGAAATTGCAGGCCAGCCTAGGTTAGACTCTATCTCAAAAAAATACGTCTAGAGGCTGGAGAGATGACTCAGCAGTTAAGAGCACTGGCTGATCTTGCAGAGGACCAGGATTCAGTTCCCAGCACACACAAGGTGGAAAAACCACCCATACCTCCTGTTCCAAAAATCTCATGCCTTCTTCTGGCCCCACAGACATTACATGCACACAGTTCTCTTATATACATGCAGGTAAAACACTGACACACAAAATATAAAAATAAATTAAAATTTTTATTATATCTACCATCTATCTGTTTATCTATCTATGAATCTATCTATCTACCTACCTATCTTCTATCTATCATCTATCTATCCATCTATCATCTATCTATCATCTATCTATCTATCTATCATCTATCTATCTATCATCTATCTATCTATCTATCTATCTATCTATCTATCTATCTATCTATCTATCTATCATCTATCTATCTATCTTAGTGTGAGAAGATGCCACAGCATGTGTGTGGAGGTCAGAGAACAACTTGTGGCAGTGAGTTTTCTCCTTCCTCCATGTAGGTCAAACTCAGGTTGTCAGGCTTGGTGACAAGAATCTTTACCTGCTGAGCTGTCTCATAGGTCCCAAAATATTAACATTCAAGACCCTCTTCCAGCATTTGCCACCATGTGAGCCCTGTTTGATCTTTTCCTGATGAAGCCTGTCTTACCCTCAGCATAGTAAGATAACACTTGTGATGGGAGCATTGTGATGAGACAGAGGATCATTGTGATGGGATACTGGAGGATTGTGATGAGACAGAGAATCATTGTAATGAGATAGTGGAGGATTCTGATGTGACAGAGGATCATTGTGATGGGATAGTTCAGCATTATGATGAGACAGAGGATCATTGTAATGAGATTGTTGAGCATTGTGAAGAGAGGACCACTGTAATAGGATAATGGAACATTGTGATGAAACAGAGGATCATTGTGATGGATCATGGAGCACTGTGATGAGAGAGAGGTTCATTGTGATAAGATAGTGGAGCACTGTGATGAGACAGAGGATCATTATAATGAGATAGGGGAGGATTCTGATGAGACAGAGGATCATTGTGATGGATAATAGAGCATTGTAATGAGACAAAAGATCATTGTGATGAGACAGTAGAGCATTATGATGAGATAGTGGAGCACTGTGATGAGACAGAGAATCATTGTGATGAGATAGTACAGCATTGTGATGAGACACAGGATCATTGTGATGGATAGTGGAGCACTGTGATGAGAGAGAGGATCACTGTGATCAGATAGTGGAGCATTGTGATGAGACAGAGGATCATTGTGATGGGATAGTGGAGCATTGTGAAGAGACAAAGGATCATTGTGATGGATAGTGGAGCAATGTGATGAGACAGTCGATTATTGTGATGGGAGAGTGGAGCACTGTGATGAGACAGAAGAGCATTGTGATGGGATAATGGAACATTGCAATGAGATAGAGGATCATTGTGATGAGATAGGGGAGGATTCTGATGAGACAGAGGATCATTGTGATGGATAGTGGAGCAATGTGAGATAGTGGAGCACTGTGGTGAGACAGAGGATCACTGTGATGGGATAGTAAGAGCACTGTGATGAGAAAAGTATCATTGTGATGGGATACTGGAGAAGGGTATGAGACACAGGATCATTGTGATGGGATAGTAGAGCACTGTGAAGAGACAGAGGATCATTGTAACGGTATAATGGAAATTGTGATGAGACAAAACATCACTGATGGATAGTGGAGCACTGTGTTGAGACAAAGGATCATTCTGATGTGATAATGGACCACTTTGATGAGACAGAGGATCATTGTGATGGGATAGTGGAGTACTGTGATGAAACACAGGATCATTGTGATGGAATAGAGGAGCACTATGATGGAAGAGGATCATTATAATGGATAGTGGAGCATTGCGACGAGACAGAGGAGCATGATGATGGGATAGTGATGTAATGTAATGGGACTGTGGGATACTGTGAAGAATGGAGTATTGTAATGAGACAAGGGGGGCATTGTAATGGGCTATTTGACCATTGTGATGGGACAATGGAACCCTATTATAAGACATAAGATCATTGTGATGAATAGCGGACCATTTTCATGAGACAGAGGATCATTGTGATGGGATAGTGAAGCATTGTATTGAGACACAGGATTATTGGGAAAAAGAGCATTGTGATGAGAGAGAGGATCAAGGATCATTGTGATGAGATAGTGACACATTGTGATGAGACAGAGGATCATTGTGATGAGATAGTGACACATTGTGATGAGACAGAGGATCATTGTGATGAGATAGTGACACATTGAGATGAGACAGAGGATCATTGTGATGAGATAGTGACACATTGAGATGAGACAGAGGATCATTGTGATGAGATAGTGACACATTGAGATGAGACAGAGGATCATTGTGATGAGATAGTGACACATTGAGATGAGACAGAGGATCATTGTGATGAGATAGTGACACATTGAGATGAGACAGAGGATCATTGTGATGAGATAGTGACACATTGAGATGAGACAGAGGATCATTGTGATGAGATAGTGACACATTGAGATGAGACAGAGGATCATTGTGATGAGATAGTGACACATTGAGATGAGACAGAGGATCATTGTGATGAGATAGTGACACATTGTGATGAGACAGAGGATCATTGTGATGAGATAGTGACACATTGTGATGAGACAGAGGATCATTGTGATGGATAGTGACACATTGTGATGAGACAGAGGATCATTGTGCAGAGATACTGATGCACTGTGATGAGACAGAGGATCATTGTGATGGATAGTGGAGCACTGTGATGAGACAGAGGGTCATTGTGATGAGATAGTGCAGCGCTGTGAAGAGACAGAGGAGCATTGTGATGGGTTAATGGAACATTGTGATGAGATAGATGATTGTTTTAATGGGGCAGTGGAACATTTTGATGAGAGGAAGATAATTGTGATGGGATAGTCAAGCACTGTGTTGACACACTATCCCACTACAATGATGATCCGTTTCATCAGATCATCCATGGGACTGTGGAGAATTTTGACCAAAGGATCATTGTGATGGGATAGTGGAGCAATGTGATGGGACAGAGGATCATTGTGAAATGGAGCATTGTGATGAGACAGAGGAACATTGTGAAAATGGAGCACTGTGATAAGACAGAGGATCATTGTGATGGGATAGTCGAGCACTGTGCTGACATAGAGGATCACTGTAATGTGATAGTGTAGAACTGTAATAAGAGAAAGGATCATTGTGATGAGAGGAAGGATTATTGTGATGGGAGTGTCGAGTACTGTGATGATACAGAGGATCACTGGATTGGGATAGTGGAGAATTGTGATGAGACAGAGGATCATTGTGATGGGATAGTGAAGCACTGATGAGACACAGGATCATTGCAGAAAAGAGCATTGTGATGAGACAGAGAACCATTGTGATGGGAAAATGGAGCACTGTGATGAGACAAAGGATATTGTGATGAGATAGTGCAACACTGTGAAGACAGAGGACCATTGTGATGGGATAATGGAACACTGTGATAAGATACAGGATCATTGTGATGGGATAGTCAAGCACTGTGCTGACACAGAGGATCATTGTAATGTGATACTGGAGAACTGTAATGAGATAGAGGATCATTGTGATGAAATAGTTGAGCATTGTGATGAGACAGGGGATGCCTATGATGGATAGTGGAGAACTGTGATTAGACAGAGAATCACTGTGATGGAATAGTGAAGCACTGTGATGAGACAGAGGATCATTTTGATGGAACAATGCAGATTGTGATGATACAGAGGATAACTGTAATGGGATAGTTGAGCATGGTGATGAGACAGAGGATCATTGTGACAGGATAGTGAAGCATTGTGATGAGACAGAAGATCAGTGTGATATACAGTGGAGCATTGTGATGAGACAGAGGATCATTGTAATGAGATTGCTGA